CCTTTGGGCTACAAAGGATGACCTGCCATGTGGGAACCCCTCTCCCATCATAGTCACCCACTGAAGAAATGTGGGTACAGTGGAGGCCACGCTGGCCTCAGCCTGGCTGGGCTGAGGCCTCATGTCCCAGGCAACAGGCTTGGACGCTGCAGTGCAGCGGCTAGTTCTTATCTGGCAAGGCAGGCAAGCCGGACACTGCCTCAGGGAGGTAGGGAGCTTCTGCTTAACGAAGTAGAGATAGGGGTGCAGCCCCGGAGCGCCTGCCTCCAAAGCTCAAAGGAGCCACGGGGCAGGGTCCACGTCTGACCTGGTTACCACAGCTGACTGCTACCTAGGAGAGGGCCCGGCCAAATGAAGATACCAATGCAGATCTGAAGCAAAGGAGGAACATGACCATGACCACACACTTGCACGTGCACACGCACTCACTCTCACACTCCTCTCTCATCACCCATTTCCCACAGCCAAGTTTCTTGTAAGATCAAGTCTACACATGCTTGGCTGCCTGCTCATTCTCCCCATGACTCACTCCAAGTCTGTCTCTTACCCCCAATCATGGTACAGAAACTGTGTGGCTGGAACCACCAAGGGCCACCCAGTGAGCACAGCCCAAGGGTGCCCTTCAGGCTCGCCATGGAGGTGGCTCTCACGGTGTGGCCAGTGGCCCTGGCAGCTGCACATACTCAGACCCTAACTCAGACTTTCTGCATCAGAAACAGTGTGGGGGTGCAGTGTTCTGTGCTTCACCACTCCCCACCCCACACACAGGTGACTCCAGCGACCACTCCAGTGACCATGTGATCAGGAGTTGCTCCACACTCTGCTTCTAGCACCTGTCACATCACGTCACACTCTGCCTACCTTTCCAGTGGCCCCCAGGCCTTCCTCCACCCTACGGATATCGACTGCCCTAAGCTGGCTCCAGTCTCCATGCGTCACCACCACCAAGGGCCAGTATTGCCCACCCCTGTCATTTCTAGCCAGGATTCCTCCTCTGCATTCTCCAGAGACATGTCCCGGTACTTGCAGAAAAGAGGGGAAACATAAGCCACACAAGGCATCACTAAGAATCTTTGCGAAGACGCAGCGTTTCCATGCCCTCCTGCTCACTGGTGCCAGTGCCGGTGCCAACGCTTCTTTTCACAAACCTCCCTTTGCAAAGCCACAGCGGCAGCTCTGCCCACCTGTGTCTATGCGGGAGTCTCTTTTTTCTCCTTTTCCTAATAAACCTGTCCCTCTAAAATGAGAGGGACAACTCCAAACTCAAGGTGACAGCCTGACCACAAGCACACACTTGATCTGCCTACTTGGGGACTGAGGGGCCTTGGCAAGCCCTCTACCTAGGTTTCTTTATCTTATTGGTTGGGTAATTAATTTGTACCTAGTAAGAACAAACAGGTCTTGTTTCAATGCTTTGTTTAGGTGGGCAGGAGGGCCAGATACTCACACAACAATCAGGGCACCAGGAAGCTCATTTCCTGCTAGGTTGTCGCCCGAGGGGCTGGAGCAACCAGGAAGTCTGTGTGTAAATCTGAAGAAAGATGAACTTGCTCATGGGTAAGTTGGTCTCTGGGGAGGTATCTGCCCTTCCCTAAGCACTCAGTTGATGTGTGGCATGAAGTATTTATTTAATCTTTGCCTCAAGCTAAAATGGCTTAGAGTTCAATAGTCACTCCTCTGTGTTTCTCTGAAACCCAGGCTTCCGTCTTGATTACGAGGGTCCTGTGCTCCAGTTCTCTCAGCACAGCCTCTGTCCTTCATAGGAAAGGTGTGTTTAATGAGTAAAGCAACAGGCACACCACGTGGCCAAGCCTGAGAAGTCACCTGGACTCCTGCCCTCAGCCTGGTGACTGACACCCAGCTGCCCATCTTTTTCCAGATTTCTCCTCTGATAGCTACTTCTAGCTCTAGCTTCTAGGGAGTTGGTCTCAGGATGGCTGGTGCACGGTCACCAACTCCTTCACAACAGGGCCTTCTCACCGAGTAGCCTGCTACCACCCTACTGACACTTTCTCATCACTGACCTCAACTCCCAGGAGACAATGACATCCATCAGGGATGAGATTCTTCTAGAACATCAGCCTCACCCCATTCAGCTCTTGCCATCTTGCTGAGGCTATTACAGGCACGTGGGTGATCCATACCCGATGACGACCCCTTCCCTTGGTCACTTAAGCTCTTGGGACCTTTATTCATTTTCTGTCACCCACACTGGAGGCTCCTCCCTGTGTGGATGTGCGCCTCTTCAGGTCTCCTCCACCCCAGAAGCTGGGAGCTGGAGCTCTCCTTCTTATCATCTACTTCCAGGTCATCAACTTCTCCCACTCTGCCCTTGCTCGACTCACAGCTGCCTTTTCCTTTCGGCTCTTTCCCCTCCATTCCTTCCCCTGCCCCACCACCACCCAACCAGCCCCTCCTTGCCCCCACCCTGCCAGTCACCCCTCCATTCTGAGGGCGTGGACTAAGAATAAAGGTCCTGCTACTGCTTCTTCACTCTTTGGGAGGAAAAAGAAAACTTATTGTAACTTGGGGTGTCTGTGTTTGGGAGAATTAACAAGCCTGACCTGTTCTAGCCAGCCGGCTTCTTCTGCTTTCCCTCAGGGCCTGGCTTTCTTTTGAGGGCGCATACCTGGTCTGGCCAAGGCCTCTGGCTTGCTGCCTTCCAATGCAGGGTGCGGCAATGGCTAGGGCCCAGGGCTGTTAGCGTCTTAGCAGCATTTCTTTGGGTTTATCTTTATTTTGTGGATCCTTCTCCCAAGATTCAAGACCTTCTTCTCACAGAGGTTGCTGAACCCTCTTTCTGAATGCACATTCGGGGCAAGTAATAGCACACGTTCTTGTGAGTGTGAATGCATACACACGCACACACGTTCAGCCATAGCCCATCACTTGAAATTTGTTTATGATCAAATACCAAAACAAGTGAGTAGGCTCATACTTTTGAGACTTCATTTTCTCAAATGTGAAAAATGGAGACACAGGATGTTCTTTGCTCCAAGATCATCATAGTTACGCAGCAGGCTGCACAAGCCAAGCAGATGCTATCTTGGCACACTGGGAAATAAAAGCCAGGGCACCCCATGGTGCAGCCTTGCAGACATGGGAGGCACTTGCAGCCTAAAGGCATCTATTATCACTCCATTTAAATCAAAACCGGTATTAAATTTGTGGGGAAAAGTCTTTCTTACCAGTTAAAATTCCATCTTAACTCACTCTAGAAATTGGAAGAACATTCTAGCCATTGACCAAGTAAGTTAATCATAATGCAGACTTGCACTCTGGCATCATTCTAGTTCCTCTAGAGGTGATTCCTGCACATTCTGGCTCGCGGTTTGGGCCCACCGTCACTGGCGTCCGCAACTGTGCCTTGCGCACCATACACCTGAAGCACGTTTTTGTTTCATGAACATATACAGAAACGACTCCCCTCTTCCCCAACTATGTATTCCCTTATTTCTAAGAGATGCTCATTTCTGGTGAAACAGTAAGACACCAGTCGATCCAGGAGCCACGCTGGGCAGCGGGCTTTCTGGCTGGTGAGAGGAAGATGCAGCAGCAATGCCTCGCCCTGAACGCAGTGGCAGCCGCAGGCGCGTGCCCCTTTGTGCACCTGCCCGGCAATGCACCCCCTGGCCGTCTGTGCACCCTGGCACGCAGGCCCTGGCAACAGTTTGGGCTCACACAGGAGCTACCACTCTTTCTGCAGAGACCACAGATGCTTCACTGAATGAAGTCAGCATCCCTATGTCGGCTATTTGGCAAAACAAATCCATGAATCAGTTTACGGGTGGGTTGTCCACAGCCACTGCTCAGCTCAAACCACGAATGGCACGGGGAAGACGAGCCTCCTTTGATTTCCATGAGCGTCCTTACGCTCAGACGCCTGGCACACCAGCTCACTCGGGACGGGTGGCCGCACGCAGCAGCACGCGCACAGGGGCTGGGAGGGACGGAGGAGAGGCACAGCGCACGAAAGGCCAGCTTGGCAACCCCCCTCGTTGTAGGACCCATGGCTTTCAACAGGTGTGTTAAATGAGCCACCACCATATGCTCAACCCTACAAAGCATGTGGAATGACAAAACACACTCCTGATCTGCCTTAAATCTGGTGCAGCAGTCCGGGGGTGTGAGCATCCCAAGTGGCTCAGCATGGGCCCACACGAGGCCAAACAGTGTCAGGCATTCGGAGGAGAAAGTGGGTGCGTATGATAAGGGGGGACTTCCACAGGAGGGGCGTGCAATCTAGGCTCTGAACTTGGGGGTTCACGAACAGGTGTGTGAGAGAAGAGGTGCATGAGCATGTAACAGGTGCACTCACAGTCATGCCCAGAAAACGGGGGGCGGGGGGAGACTGTCAAAAGCTTGGGAGAACCCAGACCAGCAGTTCGCACAGCATGCATGTGGGCCAGAGCATCGGCACCGCCTGGGAATGTTAGACCCGCAACTCCCCGGCCAGGCCCAGACCTAGGGCATCAGCCACCATGGGCCTGGGCCCCGCCCTCGTCTGAACAGGTCCTCAGTGATTCTGTCTGAGGCCTGCCCCAGTTTGAGAGCCACCGAGTTAGAGCAGGCACCGTCCTCCCTTCAACTGGCTGGGCGAGTGACCAAAGCAGCCTTACCCACGTCTGCCATGCCCCCGGGTGGCAGGAGGCAAACCTGGGGCTTTCCTGCCTCCATTTCTCCTTTCTGCAAACTGGGGCCTCACAGTGCGTGAGAGGCTAGGGCTGCCTAGCTCCTCCCTGGCTGCGCAGAAGCCACACGCAATGCGAGGAAACAGCGACATTTCCCATGGATTTCTGCACACGGCCCTCTCAAGCACTGTCCTCAGTGGCCCCTGCTCTCAGCGACAGCTGGATGTTGGGAGAGCAGCAGGTTGAAGTGGTCGAGTCTCAAGAGAGCTTTGCAGGAGGGCAGCTGTCCCCTCTCCCAGCTGACCACATGCCAGGCCCCTCTCCCGTGTCCCATGGCCACCAAGGTCCACACCCAGGGGGAAGCAGTACCTGGTGTGGGTCAGGGGACCCACTGGTCGTTCGGGCCTCCTTGGGGGCAGTGCACCCGGCCTGCTGACAGAATTGGTCTTGGGTGGCCGTGGCTTTTTTGGTGGTATGGCAGGAACAGAAGGCTTCTGTAAGTCCAACTTTGGCTCTCTCTCTGGTCTTTCTTTAAGTCGTTGTTTAGAAAAGCACAAAGAAGAGAGACAGAGCTAGTGTAAGTGACAGAACCTAGGTGCACATTGCTTGTTTCTTGCTTAAAAAACCCGCTGACATCACTCTCAAGGTAAAGCTGGAAGGCACAGAGTCTCATTTCTCCTCAGCCAGCTTGAAAAGCCTACAGGCTGCAGCCTGCTGTTTGCCTCTGCTCAAGCGGTCCCTCCACCCGAAGAACCTTTCTGGCCAACTCCTACTGATCCTTCAAGGCTTTCAAAGTGGCCTGGCTGAAATAGACACTGTCACATTCCCTGCTGGACCGCAGACCTCCCCTCAAAGGCAGACGTACTTGCTCACCTGGGCCTTGATGGGCAGCCCTTTCTAGACAAGCTCCATCCCTGCTTGCTTGGCGTAGCCTGCCGACTGCCAGTGCCCAAGCACAGGGCCCACAACTGGTCCCTAGACCCCTGCATGGCACCTGGCATCCGGCCGGGCTCAGGAAGTGGCTGGTGCATCTTAAAGGAGCCACATGTCCTGCTGGGGATGGGGAGGGGAGAGGCCTGGTACCTCTTCACACCGACCTGTGCAGCGGGCCAGGAGCCTAGTGAAGGGGAGCATTTCAGGGACCTAGTTCCAGGTCCCTTTTGTGCACAGTGAAACATGAAAGGTAAACTGGGACTTCACAGGGATTGGGTCTCCAAGGGCTGTCAGAATCAGAGCTATTAGAGTGACATGAAAGCCACACCTGGTAGCCACACTGAGCAGCGTCGCAACTGGTGGCCGCCTCATGCTTGCTGTCCTAGTTCACCTAGTCCTGTGCATGTCTGAGACACACATGTCCACTTTTTATTTCTTGTAAAGATGGAGTTTCGGAGAGTTGGGCCCTGGCAGGATCCCTATGCTCACGCATAGGCTGGAGCTCTGAACACAGTGTATTTGCAAACACAAACATGTCATTTGGGTGCCCAGGCCAACTGGCAAAGCTTTAGAAAGTCCATCAGGTATAATACAGGTGCCACTGTGCTCACCTCAGTGGTATTTCAGTAGGGGAACGTGCTCCTTTCGGGAGTGCTGGGGCTCAGATACTGACACATGGGGCCAGAGGAGAAAGAGAGCCTGGCTGAAATGCAAAGGGGAGCGGGGGGCGGGGGGGCAGAAGCGCCAGCAGCCTGGAAAGGATGTGAGAAGGCTCGTGCCCAGCTACCCAGGAGGCCAGGTCTCAAGTTGGGGCTGGTTCCCTAGCTTCCATGTTGTTTATGACCAGAAATTCTGCCTTCCTGACCCCATTGTGGCAGAGAACAAGGAATCACGGGAAGGGAGAAAAGACAAATGTGTGGCCACTTGGCCGTTCAGCTAGCACAGCTGTTCCCACGTCAGCTGAGGCCGTGCGCCAGTAACGAATGGAACAGGGAGGGCTCAGCACAGCCTGGCGAGTAGCCAGAAGCTGGCCGAGGGTCGTCCGGGAGGACCGGCAGTGCTTGGTTATGTGACAACACTCCCTTTACCGAAGGGATACTCGCACCGGATACACTCAATGGCTAGTTTTTCACGGACGTGCGACACAGACGTGGACTTCATAACGAGGGGTCACAACTCAAGTCTTAACTGTTCCACGGGAAAGAAAGAGGTGGAACTTCTTAAGTGCTCTTAATACTGGTGCAACATTTGGCAGGCTGATATAAAATATTAAATTTCACAATAAAATTTCATGAGGCCACCCAGGAGCACCTCCAAAATGATGACACTCATTAATTCAGCATTTCTCTTGTGACTTACAAATAACTGCTTTTTAAAATGGAATTTCCTCTGCATCCTGTTCATAATAATAACAGCACTTTTGCCATAAAAAGTGTGATCAATCAAATCTTAGACACCTAATCAAACAAGTCTTTGGGCAGCATGCAGATTTGGGGCGGGGGAGATACTCAGAATGGTGGGAGACAAAGATGTTCACGAAACTGACTGGGTGAGATGCACTGGGCTACAGCGACATCGGTACCCAGTGTCAGGAGACTGCAGGGACTCATGTCCTCCCAAAGTTCTCTAAAAAGGACCTGTGTCGGTGACACGGCAGACAGGGCAAAGGCCTGGCAGTGACTGAGGAAGAGCACCCCCTCTCCTCTGGATGGGAATGTCCTTAAGTCACACCCACCCACCGACAGGTGCTGAGCACTTCGGAGTTGTATCCTGGGAGCAAGCAGGAGAGAAACTGCAGCAGACACTTCCAGGCCCTCAAGGAACCTGCAGTCAGCATCCAGACTTCAGGAGCCACTGGGAGGGGTGGTGTCGACGGGAAGAGCAGGAAGGGTGAGCACCCATGTGTAGGGGGACTGGGCTGGTTGTTTTTCATTTGCTGAGCGAGTCTTGCCGAAAGAAGAGCTATATAGCCCTCTCTCCTATTTCCTTAGAAATGGGATACTTAAAAGCAATTAAAAAAAAAAAACATAATCAACATATTCCAAGAAAAAAGCAAATGCTTTAGGTAATTCAGATTAGCCCTGTGACAGACAGCTTTGTCTCTTGCTCTACTAGAAGTGCCAGTGAAGAGTTGATTTCCTACCTTTTTCCTCTGTTCTGTTAGGAAGTGTTTCCGGTCTTTCAGGAGGTATCTTTTTAATTTCATGTTTTCTCTCAGTGGTACCTAGGGGTTGAAGGAAAGCAGGGATCAGAAAAATGTTCTCTGTTTATTAGAAACACCACCATTTAAAATATTTATCAGGTACAACAAAGTCAATCCATTTCCCCCTAAGTGGGCTGCTGGTATTCTAACCAGAAGCTGCTGACACACAGAGCAGACACTGTTCCTGGCTCATGTCATCAAATTCGCCTGCCCACACATCCTTAATTTACAAAACACCACCAACATTTTGTGGTATTTAACTGACTTCATTAGGCATCAAAAGAGTCCCCACCTGGGTGAGGGGGTAGGGGGGAATGTTTACAAATAAATAGTCAATCATCAAAATATGCAACTAAGGGATCAAATAAGGTGACCTAAGAATAAAAAGAAATTTCACAGGGATTGAGATTCCATTTTGTAGGAGCTCTAAAATATGGCCCTACCCTCCCCCCCTCCCCCATGCCATCAAGAGGTGAGATCTAGAAGGTGAGAAGGCTTTCGACTGATTTAGCCAGTGGCCGATGTGACACTATATAATTTCCAAGACTAGGCCATAAACAGCCATGTAGCTTATGCTGAATACTGAACTTCTATGTAAGAAGTCCTGGGGCCACCATGCTGGACAAGACACACAGGCCTACAGCCCCAGCTGAGCCAGCGGTAGTGAGCCCTGCTGAGGGAAACAGTCATCGTCAAGGGATCCTCCAGCCTCCGCCGGCCCAGCACCTCCAGATGGGGTCCCAGACATCAGGGAGCAAAGGGCAAGATACCCTGACCCACAGAGTCCATGGGCATAAGAGAATTGCTGCTTTATGCCCCATATTTGGGGTAGTTCGTCATATGCCAACAGGAGTTAGGACATGTTTTGAAGTGGAGGGGTGCACAAAGAAGATAAGGTGGGTCTGAGTCCTTTCTCTTTGGGTCTGGATTTCCAAAGGCGCCACCTGGTTTATCTTCACCCACGTGGAGCAGAGATGCTCCCTCATCTGGGGTTTTCGTTGGTGGCGGTGACCGCAGGCACGAAAAAGCACTTGGAAAATAGTCAAGCACAAAGCAGTCATAAGAACTCCTCTGATTTATGGATTTACTTGAGTGCTAGACAAACTCTTTCATGACTAGCCTATGGATGGGTGGTTGCTACCAAAATCACAATTACACAGCACCAGAAGCAAAAGAACTTAAAAAAAAAATCCACTGACCACACTTCACCTAAATCCCCTTAATGCCTCATTAAAAATTCAACATGGTACCTGATACCTGTCAATTTTATATCTGACTAATTTTGGTCAAATAATCAAACACAATGAAACCTGATGGTGGGGAAAATATGAATCTCTACCTCCTTGTCACAAAGCAGTTCCCCAAATCATCCAGCAGGATAATGAAGTGGTAGTAGCAACCTGGAAGAGCAAATGCCGTCTTGCTTTATCCCACAGAGCCCCAGCAGAACCTTTGGTAAAACTGTGGTCAAAGGCTGAGAATTCGCCTATCATGTCACGAAGTTCAGAATCAACCCTCGAGTCAGAAGGACCTGACAAGATGGTCTTACTACCCCCGAAGAACGCAGTCCCTGGGAACCTGAACGTAAGCCATCAGACTCTTCTAGGCCTCTTCCTAGGCCACAAGGCCTCTGGAGAAAAGGGTCTGAAGAGAAAAGCAAATAAACAGCCTGCTCTCACTGCAGCACAATGAGGTATGTGTCTGGCCGGATCCACTAGGTGGCAAAGTGAAACTGCTGAATGCAATGGAGGATGGAGTGGGAGCAGGAGATGTCATTACACCCCACTTCAAGGCTGAATCTCTGAAATTCTCAACTATTATGAAGGGACTGGGGCACCAGTCTGGGGTCAAGCTGATTTTCTTCCCAATTTGGTGGGCCAAGAGGACTTAAAACCACTTCTTAATAAGTCTATGAGCAAAACAACCTGGACATTTATTCATACTTTACATGCTATAGAAATCATAATTATGAATGTGTAGGACTAAAAATACCCCTACATTCCTGTTTTAGTCGTTGATTTTTAAATGCTATTTTACTACTTACTCATAATTACATCTGAACATTAGAAAGAGGAGTTCTACTGGGAAATGTGAATTGTCTCGTGGCTGAGTCTTCGGTGCGCAGTGAGTTGTCAAGTGTCCGAGTCTTACTCTACTTTTCAACCGTAACAGCTGAACTACACCAAAAAAGGTGAACTGGACTCTTCAAAATTAAAAAAGAATCACGAGGGAAGGTTTTTACTGCTAGAAAAAGATATTTTGTTGGGGATGGGGAGTGAAGTTAGTACAAATTTTGGTTAACCCCACAGGACAGACACTGAAAATTTCGTGTTGCTATACGTGTATAGTGACGCCAGGACCAGTGGGAAATCATCTTTCCCCAGGCGGAGCCTTCATCAGGCGGGGCAGGGCAGTTATGTTCTTCTAGCCTCAAAAAAAAAAACAAACAAACAAACAAACAAACAAACAAACAAACAAAAAAAAAACCCCCAAAAAACAAAAAACAAGCTTCTTTAAAATAAACAGTTTTATTTCAAAGCTCTTTGTGGTCATTCTCTTTGGGAGGCTAGATTTCCCCCCTCTGTATTGGGAATACATTTTAATGATCTGTTTACATTTTAGGAGAAACATCTGTATATTTAAAACCTACCTGCTCCCAATTTGGCAACAGATGGCATTTGAATCTAAGAATCTCAAGCTCTGCCAAGGACAATGTAAATATATGCAAAGAGAAAGCCTAGAAGTTGATGGAACTGAAAGGTACATTACCTGCCCCTTGCTTGATGACGGGAGCGGATGGAGGAGGCGGCTTCTTGGGTCTCTGAAAAAATTAAATTAAGATGGTACTGAGACTGTTGGCAAGCCTGGCTTCTCACACCAGGACCACAGACATTGTTTTCAATCCGGAGAAGGTCCCCCCCAAATTGAGCACTGCTCTCTCTCTAGGGATATCAGATTTTGGCACCTTTACACAAATACTAAAATAAATTCATTCTGCAAAACACAGCTCTGATGGACAAATGAAACACCATTTCCCCTTTCTAAATTTGTAACAGCTTTCTCAAAAAGTACCGCTCAGCAAAAAAAAAAAAAAAAAATATCCGGCCTGAAACCAGCAAGCACAATGGTACTCCTACGCTGAAACCACATTTGCAATTAAGATTTAATCTACTGAGTAACCAGGCAATTCAGAAAGAGTCCCTGGGATAGCTCTCAGTCAGATAGATGTCTGGATGTGGGGCCTTCAACAAAATTCAGCCTACGGGAGCCCTGCAGCTGGCAGGGGTCTAACCCCCTCACATCCATCCTCAGGCTGACAGGCCATGTGCAAGACCCCTTCCTGAGACCGAAAGTTCCCCAGAAAGTGGTATGGGGTTCTCTTTGCCTGTCGGCTGCTTTGTGTTTCCTTGTCACACCCTGTCACTATGGCGGTGACAGAGGCAGCAATGCAATCGACGACATTCATTCCTGACTGGATCAGGTGGCTCCATGCTCACGCATGAATAAGTGGTGGTTGGGCTGGACCTGGCAGATGAGTCAGGGCTAGAGAGCCCACCCAGGGCACAGTTCTTATACCCCATTCTGGGGTAAGGGAGGGACGCGAAAGGCGAGGAGAGACGGAAATGGGGAGGTCTGAGCACAGGCAACAAAGACTGGAGGGTGTATAAACACTCCACACCTCTCTCTTGTACTTTGCAAATGTCTGACTGAGCCAGTACCGCAGGGACTAGCAAAAGGGACCTGGCCCCCAGCAGGTGCCAACCAGGGCTTGAGATGGTGCCAGGCAGCAAGAAATGGGTTGCAGTAAAGCCTGGAGAGGGAGAGCCACAAGGCGCTCTCAGGGTTTCAGCCTGTAGGTTCTGGGTCAGTGGCATCTCAGCTCCACTCCTAAGTTCATTCCTGACTTGACCAAGTTCCCATGAGTAAACAGTGCAAGAGGGGGAGCTTTGGTATCTGACTTCACTATGCATCCTGGCTTTCAGTTATTAGCCTTGGACTCCCGGTAAGTGACTCACCCAGCTGAAACTCTGATCTGTCACTGGTGATAACGCAACATCACCTCCTCTTAGGGGAGGTGCTTTCACGAGCAGCGGGAGTCAGCAAGCACTGCCTTACTGCCTCCTCCGGAAGGAAGGACATTACGAAGTCCATTTTGCAGACAAAATGATCGAGGTTGTACGCAATGAGGCCACTCCCAAGATCACAAGACTATATTAAACAGGCTGTCTGATCCACAGGGATGCTTGCTTTCCCCCCACTTCATGGCAGCTTTAAGCGCCTTTTATTCCCCCTACAGCACTGTTCAGAGTTGGCCAGATCTGACTCCCCCTTCAGGCCCCTCAGGCATATACACGCCCCTGCAGCTCTCCCACCGCCACCCCTCGTGCACTTCCTCCCCGTCTTGACCCCGCCCCGGCCTGCATGCCCAGCAGCCTCTTAACCACTGTGAAGGGTTCATCGTGCCCAAGAGCACCCACCAGACAAACCAGCATGCAGCGACAGGCCACACAGGTGGATGGAGGCATAGGAACCGTAGGACGTGGTAAAGCAGAAACAAATTGCAGCTACAGTGTGAGATCAACTAGGATGCAAAATACACGGGCAGAGAGTACGACTGGAAAGAAAGAAATGTATAGAGATGAGGCCTGATCAGGAGGATTATGGGTGTGTGTGTGTCCGTGCGTGTGACCTTCTGTCTTTCTGTGGTGACTACATGCACACAAGACTTATGTTAAAAAAAAAAAAAAAGGTGCTCGGGGCCACATCCCTGGTTCACAGGTTCACAGACCTAACAGTCCTCGCTCCCCGGCTTGCCAGCCCTCTGAGCTCTCCACCCCAACTCCTCCCTTCTTCCTCCTTTCTCTGCCTCTGTATAAATTAGAATGAGGACAGATGTGTGTTTACCTAATGAAGTTCTCGTTGAAACTCTGCCAATTAACCTTCCTTTACCTCAGGATCAGAGTCATTTCTCCTTCACGAAGCTGCCAACACCCTGTGGCCTGATTCTTCCCAGCCAAACCCAGCAATGCCTTCCCCTGGACATCTTCCTCACTGCCTCTGGTTTGAACATTTTTATAACCAGTTTCACATGAGCCTCCTCCTGCTGAGGCCCTTCCCCCAGCAACCTTGCCTTAAGCCACAGGGCCCCAAACAAACAAACAAAAAGAGACAATTACCAGTCATCATATTTTCCAAGATACTGTGCAAAGAAAAAAATATCCCCACACGTTGTGTCAGCTTCCGTATGGAGCACACACACAATGAAACAAGGGCAGAGCAGAGACTGGTGGGGTGGGGGCCGTGGGAGGGAGTTGTCAGAGAAGCCTATTCTTTTGAGCTGCTTTGCCCTCCCTCCTGAGGAAAGCAAAGCGCTCTAGCCCCAAGCTCAGAGACAGCAGCTCGCCCAGTTTGCAGGTAGATGCTAACAGCACAGGGGTGCAGCCCATGCAACCACAGGAGTCCTCTCGGCAGCGGAGAAAGCTGCACGGAGGAAGCTGTACCGAGGGTGGCCATGTCACCAGCGAGGTGGTAGCCGAAGAGCCCAGAACTCACACTGTTGAAGGCCTCGTCTGTGACAAATTATCTAAAAAGAACCAATATAGAAATGTTTGTAACAAAATCAACGAGCCAACTTTTCCTGGCTGCTGAGAAAGCAGAGGCTGCGTGTATCCATATGAGCCAGGCGCTTGGGCCTGCGTGCCCGCGCGGCCACCTGGGTAGAGAGTCGTCTTGGCCAGAGAAGCAAACACCGCCTTTTAAAGACGGCATGAGGTAGCTTTGATTTCTGGCCATGACTACCAGGAACGGGAAGGGCTAATGTTCATGAGAGAAGACAGCGGGAAGCAGGAGTCCTGACAAGGCACCTGACCTGTGCAGCCAGTTTGCCTTCAGAGCTCAGGCCCTACGCACGAGGTATGCTGAAGATCACAGAGGAGCGTGCCTCCTGATGGCCGGGGACCCTTGAGAGGGCTTTGTTAGAGGAATGCGGTAAGCTCTGGCAGCAATTAGCTGGGTTTTGAATGAGGTAAGCGCTGCAGGCAAAAGTACTCTGGACGTGGTGCTCAGCTGGGGGAGGTTGGCCTGTAAGTGCCAATGGAGAGGGCAAGGGATGCCACTCAGTACATTTCGGGGAAGCCCAGACGGGTCCATCAAGAGGCCACACTTGGGTGACACGAGCACCTTGACAATCACCCTACTGACACGTGCAACCACCCAGAAAACGAAATGTACCAACTAGTAATGTCGTTAAGTGAGTTTTCCCCCCACAATGTTGCTTATTAGAAGCACACATTTATTGCTTTTTAGAAGACCGAAGATGTGGACATGATTTATTGGGCAGCTTTGAAATTAGCAAGGATAACAGTTCTCAAGGTGAAGGAGAGGACAAGGAACAAAGAAAATTTTAGCTGAGAAATTTTTTAAACTAGGCTGTCAGAGGAGGGGGTGAAGAAGGTAAGAGGCCCCCTAAGAACTTTGTAAAGAGCACTTCGTTAGCGTTCAACCAGCAAAAGGTACCTGTGGCAGATTAGCATTTGTGAATCCAGAAAGCAACCAGTGCCTCTTGCTTTCCTGCGTGCTCTTCCAGCAAACACCAAATGAGATTTCCTGTAGATTCTAAGGAATCAGGTCATGGACAGCAAATTCCCAGCAGACCCATGCATTCCAGACTGGCTGGCATTTCAGTCCCCGTTGTAATTAGTAAGCTGGCAGCCTGCTCCCAGGGTGAGTCTCTGAGTGGGCAAAGGTGAGCTTGCCTCAGCGTCAGGCATCTGCAGAAATCTCTGAGAGCGGGTTGCTGAGCTGAGGCTGGGAGGGAGCCCCTCCACTGAGGAGTAGTCACCAAAGAAACACCTCCAAGAACCTTTGCAACCACACCCCCCACCCTTGACAAGGCACAGACTGAGCTGAGGCCTCTAAGTCAACACATGCTAGGACAGTAACATCTGGGATTCTGAACAGAGCCTGAGACTTTCATCCAACACTTGTACAGAAACATCCTTCTAGAGAACCCCTAGCTTAATGCTGTAAATGACAGGGAGAACTTGCCTCTGCATTACTGAGTGTCCTCGTTCCTCGTCTTCCCTCAGTAATGATGACAGAGCACGTGCACTGTCTCCTCAAAGCTCTCGGCAGATTTAATCTTTCCATTGTGATATTCAATTTTACTGCCAAGGTTCAAAATAAGCAGAAAGCCGATGAATCTAGACTCTCTCACAAACAGTTTACATAATTGCTCTAAAATACACACCAAGAGATTACCGGGTAACCTCTCGAGGAAAAGCCCCTAAGCGTTTCTCCCCCTGGTAAGCGAGAATCTGCTGGGCACAAACTGAAAGAAAGACCGCCAGGAATCCCCAGAGGCTTCGGGGTAACCACCTGAATCCACAGCCCTGCAGAAAGCACGCCAGCCCCATCAGACGGCTTCGGGGACGCCTACACACTCATGAGGCCAGCTGCTGCCCAGACGCTGAGCGCGGCCTAGCCTGAGCGGCGGATTGCCCGCTCTTCTGAGTGAACGGCGCAGCCCAGCCACTGGCGAGACAAGATGACATCTGCTGAAACTAGTGGCAGAATAATGTTTCAGACTCTGCCACTTACATAGTGCCTTTGTGTAAATGATTCTAATCATCGTTACACAGTCAGCTCGGCAAATGCCTGCCCCCTCTCCAGTTACGGTGGCGGCTCACCAGTTCGGGTGCTGCAATAAAGGCCGGTGTAACAACCAATGCAAAGCTGGTTGGCTGGTTTTATAGGCCAGATGGGGATGCAAAAGGATGCAATATTTTGAATTTTCCGAAAAGTAAATGTCACATTATACAATCGCTTCTTAGCTGTAGGTATTACTTTGTCTGACAGGTGTGACTATTGTTTCTCTAAAATTGAGTTTTCTGCTTCTTCGGGACAAGGTTAAAAGACCTATCAAACGTTGGCTGCTGCTTGTCTGGGGCTGGAGATGCCTGTGAGGCACTCAACGAGCCAGCCAAGATGAGTCTACCCATCACTGACAACTTCACTGTCTCAGTGGATGTCTTCCCTTAACACCTTACATAACAGAGCAGCACTTCTAGAAAAGGATGCCACAGAGTCTTCCATCTCCCGTGTAGATTTATTGCTCCACTACAATTTGACTGGAAACCTGGAGGCAGGGTGCCCCCAATGTAGGCCACCACAGGCTGTGCCCATTTGTTAAAAAGAATGATCCAGATTTTATCGTAGCCTTCAAAATCATACTACCTCAATCAGAACCAAGAAGGCAGCAAATGACCAGGAGGACAGTGTGTTTGCTAAGACTCCTTGACCAAAGGGGGAGGCGTCACATGAAGTCCTGGCATCACCCAGGATGTGAAGCATTTACCAGGATCACATTTTGCCCTGGAGAAGGGCAAAATAAGCAATCTGGATGTGCTCTGGCCTGCACTCCCTGGGAGAGCCCACCCTCAGTGTCCTTGCAGAAAGGTCTGGCCCCGAACACCAGAACCACTGTCCACATCCAAGCCCACAGGGCAGCAACCACGTGAACACTTCACAGCTCATCAAGCAGCATGGGGCCCTGCCTGAGGAGAGTGAATGATGACTGAACATAAAATGAAGTTGCCAGGCGGCAGATCATGAAAAAATATGAGCAATAACACCAAGAGTGTATCATGCTGTGCTCGCTTGTCTTCACAAATATGTTTTATAAAGCACTAGATTTCTTTTTAATGGCTGCTCATCAGAGTTCTCAGATGCATTTGTGTTCCCAGGGAAACTCACCAAGGCTGCTGGTGACTCGGCCAGCTCCAGCAAAAGGGACCCACACTCAGACTTCGACAAGATGGCGCAGTCCCACCTGGAGTCCTCCCACGTGGTGGAAAGTGTTGCAAAGCCCAGAGCAATTAACATACAGGGCATTTGCTGAGTGCTAGGCATCATTGCAGTTAATCTTCTCAGCAGCTTCATAAGGTAGGAACAATTATTCCCGCAATTTGATAGCTGAGAATACTGAGGCCCAGAGACTGAGCTGGCTTTGCACAGAGCCGTGGTTCATGCCCGGGTCTCTTGGATGTCACAGCCTCGAGTCTCAAGCACAACATTCTACAGATGTTCCCCCAACCTCATCCCCATGTTCTGCTGCTTTGAAACATTTGTTATCTAGTCATTCCTAAATGTCAGCATCTGTTTTGTTTGCAGCGATGGCTTCTGTCACTGGAAAACCCAAACACTGCCATCAGCATCAGTAAAAAAAAGTGAGAGATCTTGCTTGGAGGACTTAAGTGAATGGACTCCCTAAAATATGGTTGGCAACTGACAGGTGGGGCTGTCATCAGCTAGAGGTCTGCTTCTATCAATATACTGACGCTTCCCAAGCTGTAATGTGCAAATAGATCACTTTTGTTAAAATGTTAATAATGATATGTGGTTCATTTTTTTTTTTAAATTCCAGTTCTGATGCAGGTCTAGGTGGGGTCTAAGAACTGCTGACAAGCTCCAGGTTTTGCTGCTGCTGCTGGCTCACAGACCACACTTTAAGTGTCATGGATTTCAAAAACACGGACAGATTCTCTGGACTGCAGATCCAGGTCCAAGAGAGGACAGCAGGTGTGCAACAAAATATCCTTCAGTGAAACAACACAAGAAGGAAACTATTAAGACATCTAACAGGTACGATTTCAGGCTTCAAGCCAGCTTAGCCATCTGTGGGACATAATCTTGGAGGACACCGACACTGACCTCAAGCTTCTCGACCAACTACACCCATTCATCTAAGCGTATAGCATGGGGCAGTGCATGGACTGTCACAGATATTTAGCGTCCTTGGCAAACAATCTGCCAGCGTGGTATCTCTCCCTCCTGAGGCTCCAAGGGAATGGTGATGGGTCACAGTCATATTCATGGGCAGTGACAGAGCCCATGGCTATGAAGAGGATCTTGGGTGGGGACGGTGAGCAAGGAGCCCTCAGGATGGCAGCGGTCAGACTGCTGCCTCTTGGGATGCAAAGGTCTGCTCCCTTTCAACACTGCTCATTACGTCAGCAGCAAAAAGAACAGTATGCCTGGAAGGAGGCAGAGAGACTGACTCAACTACACAATGGCATCCTAGAACAGATTCCCACAGAGAAAGCCTGAGAGCAGCTCAGGGTGCGTGTGCATGTGCGCGCATGCGCGCACACACACACACACACACACACACACACACAAACTGTGGGAAGATTAGCAGGCCCCACTCTGTGTCCTGCAGCCACTTCCACCATAACCGCCACATGACCACCCCCCAAGGGTATGTTCCACAGGACACAGGCTGTCCACTTCCCAAAGAGAGCACCCGAGGGATCCTGTCATTTCTTTGGGTGCTCTGCGTACCTTATCTTGCTTGTTCAGGCCACAACCCTAGAACAGGGGTCACTGTTCTCAGTGGACAGATGAGAAAGCCGAGTCTCGGGAAGTTAACGGACTTACGCCCCACCACACTGAGCTCAGGGCAGTCCAGGGCTTGGAACCCAAGTCCATTGAACAAACATGCCAGTGCGCCAAACATCATCGCCCTTGCACCCCAAGGCCCATGACGGGTGGGATCCTGGCAGCATGTGGAGCAGAAACCAAAACCACGAAGACTTACATTCCCCTCCTTTTCGAAGTCTGGTGGCAGCAACTTCACGAAGTTGTCGGGGAACACGCCCCGCCTGCCGTTGAGCTCTCCTTCCCACCAGCCGATGTCGATGCAGTCCTGGAAGACAGGGGAGCAGACAGTGAGCGATGGGGCCAGCAGTGCCCGGAGAGCAGGGCCTCTCCTGGAGCCCCTGGCCCTGTGACAATGGTTACTAGGACTGAATTAGCGCAACTTTTGGAGCACAAAAGCTGCAGTGTGCTAGGATTGCTGGCTGGGGCTCAAACCAGGGCTGCTTCTAGATGCCCCAGACCAGTAAGATTGCTCTCTTTTTTATCTTCAAACACGGGAAGATAAGTATTTTTGTTAAGTTTTAATGTTATCGAAATAAAATTGTTTTATTAACGGCAAATGTGGCTTAGAAAATCTCACCTGCACAATGTCCTTTGTTTAGCCTGTCACAAAGCTTGTTGAAATTAAAAGGGCTTTGCGACAGTCAGCCAAGCAGAAGAAAAATCACATTTCAGCAGCTCATTAATGCACTGCTCTCCACCTTCTCCTTTCTCTGCTGGTGGCACAGTTGTCATCATGAAACCCCTCCCCCACACGACAGAATCCAATTTTGCTTAAATAAATCTAGTTATTCTTCCAGATCAGAGCTGCTTGCCTCTGAATAGCCCCCATTCTGCAAATGGAGTCACCCAACATTTATTGAGCGCCTACTCCATGCCAGTGGCTGAGAGTTTTAGCAATACCCCTTATGCTTGCGCTCCAGGTCAAATTCCACTTCTGCCATCCCCGTCCAAGGCTCCCTGGACCCCCCTTTGCATGGGCATTTCTCCCTGCCCAGGTATGTACAGAATATGCCTCACTGTCAAGTACATGCCCTTGCGTGGAAACCTGACTCTCAGACTGAGATCAACAACCTCTACGTGAAGCCCCAAATGAATGAAATGCCAAAAGCTAGTTACACTGAGGACTTTTAAAGTCATATCTGAAGCAGGAAATGCTCAAGAAAGTGAAGAGACCCCAGGCTCAGGGCCCACGGAGAGATGCTCGTGGCCCCACACAACACGAAGGGACTTGGGAGAGAGGCAGGGATGACTTGAGCAGCACAGTGAGCTGCTCTGGGCCCGAGGTGGCTCGCTTGTGCTCCTAAGATCATACTTCTGCCTTTTCCACCATTATACCCCCACACTGCACAATGGCCAACATAGTAACTATTTATGGAACTGATGCCGACTCTAACCCTGAGCACTGTGGTCACTTACAACCTAACACTTGTCACAGTGCTACCTGCTTTAGTTTCTGAAGATCCTGCCTAAGTCAACAGGAGGCCAAGATCAGAGGACAAGCGACTGCCACCTTGTCCTACACCAGTGGCATCTGCTATAAGGAAAACTGAGGCCTTAGAAGGAAACACAGGTTTTGCAAGTGGGTACTTAGTCCTAAACTCAACTCTCATCGATCCAGCATCAGAAAGGATACCTGAAGCATTAAGTTCAGATTTATTCTGAATAATAGAAAGAAAAAAAAAGGCCCTCCAATGTGAAAGAATGCTTCTCTTTCAGGGAAAATGATGAGGAGGCCAAGTGTTCTTTTCCCGCTCACGTCACACCCCCAAACAAGGTAGCATCAGCTTCCTACAAAGGGCTTCATATGAGGGTGTGGGGGGCAGGACTTTGGGTCCTCTGAGGTCTTTCTGACCTCCAGAAGTTAGGTCATCAGTGACGATACCACAAAAATTTATGAAGGCGGTACGGTGTGGAATTTCTTCACTCCCAATTCTTAGAAATTGTCTTGCAATCTAGAAGGCTCTGCTCCAACGAAATGTTTAATGCATTTATGCCCCTCTTTTTCTGGATAAGTTCTCCTCATCTTCAAATGCCAGCTGGAAATTTACCTTTAGGAGGGTGAGGAAGATGAATGCATTCTCTTTTCTCTAACACTCACAACTGTGTTAATTCGCACTTCCCTATATTCTCCCAGAAGCATCTATTAAATGCAAATCATATTTGATTACTTCTGTAGGCATCGAACATTAAACATGGCAAGGACATGATCCCTGACCTCAGGGAGCCTAAGGATTTACATGAAAAACAGACAGATATGATACCACAGCCTCTTTGACAACAGGTATCAACTGGTACCAAATATAATTAAGTCCTTTTCAAAAAATCTTAAATGTTTTCATGTGTGAAGGGCGTGCTTACATGAGGATTGGAAATACCCACACATTCATTTAAAATCTGACACAGAATTATGTCCATAAGGGACACTTGAATACTGTTTGGTGCTGCATACTTCTTTACAAGGTTTTCTCCCAGATTTTCTAAGAGAGTCAAATCCTTAAGGCAGAAGCTTTAGCCTCACACAAGCACTAACCCAAGAACCACTGTAGTGAAACATTTCATTGTGTATGTGAGAAGGACAATTACAATGATTTTAATAAGTAAAAACATCCAGAATAACTTGAAGAGTCATACACACCTCAGAGGGGGAAGAGCACATGTGAGGGACACCACCTCCCCTCACAGCTCAGTGGCTGGGGCGGGCCTCTCTACTCAGCTTCTTAAGGACAACCCTAACAGCCAAGGCACTTGGGGAGTCGCATATGAGAGGCATGCACACAGTTAGAACAGTAGCATCACTGTTCTGACCAGCATGAGAACAAACAGAAGGCACGGGCGTGAGGTAAGCACATCCAAAAAGAAAACTGCGTGGAAGGGGAATAGTCAGGTGCTGCAGGACAGAAAATGGCTGCAAGGTCAAGATGCCTGTAGTGAGAGGACTCAGTGAATGGAGGCACTGTGCTCTTTCTAGCAATAGAAGCTAATTTAAGGAACACAGGAACAATTTTGACAGCAAAATGAAAAGTGAAAAGAAATCCTCTCCAACAAACCACACAAAAGAACTAGCCTTTTGATGACAGAGATGAATAGAGAATTCTCTGTATGAAGGCCATGCTTCTAGAAGAGCAGCAAATTCAATGTATTTATTGAGAACCTAAAACACTCAGGAGATGAGGGGAATTCAATGAGGGAAAAAATCATTGTGTCCTCACAGGGCTCCCTACTTCGGAGCCTAGTGGGAGAGGGAGACACTGTAGCAGACAGAACACAGAGACAACAGCAGCAGTGGGGCCGCAAGAATCCACCAGCCTGAAAGGAAAGAAACAGGGCAAGATTCGAGGCCATATAAAGGTTAAGGGTGGATCAGGGACCAAGAAGGAAGGACTCTGGTCATGGAGACAATGTTCAAGAAAGAAGGAAGTGCTTGGCCCCTGACCAAAGTGATATTAGGTGTGAGGCAAGATGGCACCCACATGTGACAGAGGAGGAGTGGAGGGGCAGGTGGCCAAGGATTTGTAAGGCCAGAATGTCATCAGGGTAGAAGTTGATGTCCCCAGGGAGGTGTGTGAAGGCAGGTCTACGAGGCAGTAGCTGATCACTGAAGAGAGTGGCAGTGTCACCAAACTACCAGAGGACTTTACAAGTCCCAAACCAGGGACACTATTAATAGTTACACCATGACCACGGACATAACCCAAGATGATGGTCCACCCCAGAAGACTTTGAGATTCTATTAAGATTGAGGTAAAGGCAGTACAGGTAGGTGAAGGGATGGCCTCTGAATGAGGTGGGAGTTTGCAGTGAAAGATAAGGGGACCCCTTTCAAGAGTCAAGAGCAGCGAAGAACTATTTCTGACACAGAACGCTCACTCTTCTATAACCAAGTGTTCAACAAACAGCTTCTCTATGCCTCAGGAAAGGCAGATACTGAAGTAAAATATTTTTTCTTATGAAAATGTTTTTTAAGGAGTGAATAAACAGAACCACAGGTGTGCTATGCTCCAGTCTCGGTTTATGCACCATCTCAAGGTATCCCAGGTATTCTGGAGAGCAAAGTTGGGCCACCTGACACTACTTAAGTGAGCCATCAGGGATAACAACTTTGAGTCGACACACAGGGAACCCTTCCAGAGGTGCAGGGAGTGATAGCACTGCTAGGGTGCAGGTTGCACAGACTGATGTTAGAGACCCTGAGGGATACTGTGGTGGGGAAAGCATCTTAATTAAGCGCACATGCATTTGTCATGTGACTCAGTGCCCTCCTCAGATAAAAGTCCTTGGTAGCAGTCCATACTTGGAAGGGAGCTGACAGGAGGATGCAAGGCCTCAGCATGTGTCTGAGGAGACTGCCTGACCTCAATGTCATGCCTCAGTCTGTTCAACCCTACCGGCGAGCCCTGGGCAATATGGTTGAAGCACTTGTCACTCCACAGTTTATGGCATCAACGACCTGTTGAGAGCCACTCCCTGGCATCAAGCTGTCAGCAGGGGTTCACCAGTGAGCTCCGGGGCATGCACCTCTAGTCCAGGCACTTCACCTCATTGAGAAAAACTTGTCATTTGCTTGTAAAATGGTTAAAAGAATGAGTCATCAACCTCACCTTATGCTCCATTTTGTGACATATGTAAAGCAACACATTGGATCAGTGTTTCTCAGACCTGGCTGTGTGTTTAAATCACCTGGGGAATTTTTAAAAATTCCAGTGCCTGGGGAAAACCCCACAGCAATTAAATTGTAATCTCTGGTGTGTGTGGCTTGGAAATGTTTTTTCAAGGCTGTTAGATGTTTCCAATGTGCAGGCATCTTGTGAAAATGCCAATCCAATGGGTCTGGGACAGGTCTCAAGTAGCATTTATTTTTATTTTAATTTGGAGTTAGTTACATTTTTGCTCTTCGACTCACCTTCTGCCAAACCACCGGTGCCAAAGTACCCTCCCTTTGTCCTTTCTTCTCCTCTCTCCTTCTTCCCTCCAGTAACCATTAAATACTTTCACTAAGTCCAAGATTTATTCCTGTTCTATTTCACCTGTGTATAGTTTTTTTGTTTTTTATATTTCACAGAGGCGTGAAACCAACCAATATCTTTCACCTTGACTTATTTCACTAACAAAATTCCCTCAAGGTTCATCCTTTTTGTTCTAAGAATCCATTTTGTACTAAAAGCCACGGATTTCACCTTTTTATCACAGCTGTGTAGTATTCCATTGAATATGCTTTTTTTTTTTTTAATCCATTCATCTATTGAAGAGCACTTAGGTCAGTGTGAT